TTTCATGACACAGTTAGCTCTGTGGCAGTGTCTTGGTCATTTGATGCCATATTTTCACTGTTCAAGAATCAATTTATTGACAGATCATAAGTTAACTAAAGGATTATTTCAGGTAATTGTGAATTTAGAGAATACTTTTAAGGCTCAGTAGTGCAATTCTCCAGTTTTTAGCTCATTATTTCAAATAATGTTAAATGTTAATTATGTAATAACTAAATACTAAACATTTGTAGTACATATTAGAAGGGATCTTAGAAATCATCTTATTCAATCCCCAACTCCATATTCCTGTCTGTAATGTTCTTGACAAGTAAGCAAGAACCATTCTTGCCTAATGGTAACCTTCTGAACCATTTTATTATTTGGCTTGGTTTTAGAGTCAGTCTCATGCTGGATACCCTTATAAGTGTTCTATTTTTTTTTTAGTGTTTCTTCTCAATGTGACATTTAGAATAAGTTATTAGCTGGATGGTACACTCTATCTTCTCTTGAATTGTGCACTAGGTGAGATTTAGGTGTATATGTTTGTACATTGTGTATGGTATATATAGGTTTAAATGCTGCAATAATTTTAAATGTAATATTTCAGTTAATTAAGATTCGTTTTGTAGTTTGACACTTGTGAATGGTATTCTCTTCTTGACCCAGTCTCATACATTACTAACTGAAGTTGTCATGTGTTTGCAAGGATAATTTAAATGAACATAGAATTTGTGAAAACCTGACAGATCCTAACTATAACTCAGCTAGTGGGCAGCATTATAATTTATTTATAGCAGTGTAATGTAGCAGTTAATGAACTAATATACAATGAGGGCAAATTGTACTATATTTTTGCACGAAATTATACAACACAGCAAAGGTTGGCATTATGTAGTTAAGTACCCACAAAATGTTAACCTACTTGCAATAAATACAATTAATAATGTACATAAAAGAATGGAATTAAGCTAATTTTCTATCACAAAAGAATTATTCGTGAACAGAAAGTGGACAGCATAGATTTGATGACAGAAAGGTTGTATCTAATCTGAATTACTGAGTGACCTAGGAAGCTTGCTCAGAGGGATTACAGAATAATTATGTTAATATGCAATTATCACCTCATTTCTTCTGTAGTAACCTCAAGATGTAGTGTAGTGAGGGTGTTATAGCAAGTGCTGATAGTTTGCAAAAATACTGATGTTTGAGATTTCTGAGACAATAAGTCTAGCTTGAGGCATATAAGTGATGATCTGTCATCTTGAAGACAGATCTGACCTTTGTACAATTTTTTAATGCTCACAGTATATAACTAGAGGCAGTTATAGCTGTAAAACTCATTATGATTTTCCAGCAATTGAAATATATTTTATGTAGATTTAAAGTTCTGTTTGCAGCTTTTAAAAAAGGTGTGTGAATTTTTTTAAAGAACATTTTAAAATTCAGTTAAAAGAAAAATTCTATGATTATATGATTATCTGGGGAAGCTTTAGTAATGGTGTCTAAACATTGTTTTAAAATCTTAATTGATATAGCTAATTCATTGAATTCATTGAATTGAAATTTAAGGAGTCCAACAGTTTATCTATCTTAATTTATTAGCTTCTGTTTTTTAAACTTAGTGAATAATGCCCACCTTCAAATATGTTCCTACTTTGTTATAGTAACCTAAACTGGTATTGATGTCTCTGTTATATATACATTTGACTATACAAAGGTAGTTGAAAAACTATTTGAGATGGTGTAAAATTAACTCAGATCAAATAGTTTCTTGCCTAGATGCCTCATAACCCAACATGAATGTAGTAAAATAATTTTTGATGGTGTTAAAATTCTGTATCCATTATTCAGTGCAACAGATTTTGATGCTCCATTGTTCTGCGTGGTATCTCAGGACAACAGCTATGAGTATTGAGTACTGTTATTAATAAGTAGTGTATTTGGAGCATTGTATAATTAGAATATATTCTGAACATTTTAATTGTTTCTAAAATAAGTACCCACAAAATGTTAATCTACTTATAGTAAATACAGTTAATAATGTACATAAAAGAACAAAATCAAGCTAATTTTCTCTGAGTAAAGAATTACTCATGAACAAAAAGTGGACAGTATAGATTTGACGACAGGAAGGTTGTATCTAATCAGAATTACCGAGTGACCTAGAAAACTTCCTTACTTAGTCAACTTTTGTAACATATTTTCAAACTGATGCAGAAGGTAATGTCTTTTATTTTTGAGTAGAGATAATTATTAATTTGGGGATAAGTAAGCCATGTCATGTGGATGTGAAGGAAAACTTTAATTGTTAAAGTCTTCATTCTATATTTTAATAATATTTAGTCTGATTTTTTTTGCTAGATGTGTTTTGTAGATAAAATCATTTATGCACATATATTTTTTCTATGTTTTTGAACAAAACAGGTTGATATCTTCAGAATGTGAACTTATGAAAAGCTCTTATAAAGCCATTCTGGTAATGAGGATGCAGTCTCCAAGCTGACATGATGTTCTCATAGTTTGTCACCCTGCTGTTCAGGGGGTACCAATGAAGTTGCTTTAAATGGGAAGCGTCTGTTCCATCTCTAAACCTCTAACACCAGAACAGATGGGTGGGACATAGAACATGGAAGGTTTTACCTCTGAGGTGGTAACAGTGAAGCCACTCATTAACACTGAATTTACCACTTCGTTAGCAACATTGCTTCCTGTTGAGAAAAACTAATATAGGCTTTCAAATTGAGCATATATTTGTCCACCTCTGTGATTATAATAAGTGGGAACGTAAAGGAAAGTAACTGTCTTTCAAGCCAGTTTTTTGTCGTTCATTTCAGATTTATGAGATTGTTACTATTGAAGCATTTTATATTTTCTACCTAATTTAATGAGAAATATCAGGAATGAATAATAAGTGTAGCATTAAGGCTTGCTTTTCTTTCCCTTGACATTTGCACACCCTTTCCTAACACATGTTTATGTGCTGCCCATTTTTAACTTCTGTGTGTGTGATGTAGAGACTCCTGCTGGGTGATGCATTAGCACCATTTTGGAGTGATATCCTTGAATGTGATCTTATTGGAAGTCTATTTTTATTACCACCATACCAGAAGTTTGCCAATCTCAGAACAGAATTCTAAAACCTATGAGGGGTGGAAAAAATAATTGTTGGTATAAATAACAATGTCAAAGATACTGGTAATAGATATTTTTTGTATTAAATAACATTTTATGGAAAGAATAAGATCAGATTATAAATGCTTGTTCTAAGTTATAAAATACAAAAAAGGTAAGAACAATTTTATTATTCTTGAATTAGATTTAATGTTTTACAAAGCATGAAATTGGTACCCTTAAAGGACAGTAAAAATATTGAACTTTATTGAACATGTTTTGATTTGTAAATGTTAGATTGTGAGGTCCTGTTGCCCTAAAATAATATTACTTGTTATGCAAATTAAAAATACTACAAAAGAAAAATATACAGGCTTCGTTCTTTATCTGAGAGCAGGAAACTAACTTGTCTTGTTTACCGTTATTTCTGAAATACGGGATCAATGCATGGCACAACTAAGTGCGTAGTAAATATTTGGATAATAACTGCAAAAAAGGAGAAGAAATATGGAAGCTTATGCCAATACTTCAATTAGTTAATACCTGGGGTTGCCAAATAGCAGGTTCTTTAAATTGTACATGAGAATTATTGGATATTTTGAGGACCTTATTATAATTACTGCATTAATAAATCAGAACCTGATGGAACTTGTATTTGAATGGGGTATCCAAATTTCATAGGAACAAAACTGTTTTTCTTCTTACACTTTAGGAACTTGTACTTTGATTTTGAAATTGTGTTTTTATTAATCCAATACTTACTCAGTCTTTTATTCAACAAATATTGCCTGAGCACCTATGCCAAGTGATGTACTAGGTTCTAGAGATATGATAGTGACTAGATTACATTCCCAGTCCTCTAAGAGCAGGAAAAAAACAGGTTGCAAGGGAACTTTTCATAGTAAGGGTAGTCACTACATAAAGTCATCATATGAATGGACCCCAAACATTCAGAAATACTATTTGCTTTAAAAATATTGTACTTTTTTCTCATAATGATTAAATAACTTATCAAAAATGCCTAGAAAAGTTTTATCTACATTTTATGTGAAATAAATTTAAAACATATGTTTATGCTATTTTATTGTAAAATGTGTTAGGCCGTTGCACTAGACCACCAGATCAAAAATGGGATAACTGCTTTTAAAGAATGCCTGGAATTTGGGGCCCCACATATGAAAGTTTGACATGAAACTTCATTAATTTTAACTTCAGTGAAGTTGAAATTCACTTTACTAAAATTTAGTTAACTTTAGTAAAGTTAAAATTATAGTTAAGGTTAATTTGAATAAGGAATGAACAAAACTATGAATAAAGCATTTTAACAATAAAACATTGATGTTGATAGCAAATATGTTCATTCAAATAAAGTTTTTTACTGAATGGCGTTTTGTTACCTTCCTTCAGGAATGAACTTATAAGTGACAAATCTTTCATTTCTCTGCAGTGTTTGATAATTTATATTATTCTCTCGAATAGAGTGACTGCCTCTGATAAACCTACTTAAGTGAAAGAATTTTCTTTGTATTAGCAATCTCTACATGTGGTTTAAAATTTTTTCAGTCTGTAGCATATTTACATTGTTTTTGTGTCTGTGTGTATATGTGTATCTGTGTGTATGCTGCTTTTCCCTAGTATGTTTGTGTATGTTGCTTTTCTCTAGACATTTTGTATATATGACGTATTGGATTGTTGTTGTTGCCTAGCATGAAGAACAATATTAACCTTTGAGGTGCTTTTTAAATATTTCAATATGTTTGTGTTCTTTCATGCTTGGAAAATTATTAGAATGTCAATATAAAGAGTAGAAAATTAAACTAATAAAAATACGTACTTTCAACTCTCCATACATTCTAATAGTATTTTTTCTTTCATGCAAATCTAAATTTTTTTTTTCCATTTTCTAGACTAAATGTGTTAAATGGGCTTGCCAACAATATGGATGATTTGAAGATAAACACCGATATTACTGGTGCTAAAGAAGAACTCCTAGATGACAACAATTTTATCTCAGACAAGGAGAGCGGAGTTCATAAACCAAAAGATTGTCAAACATCATTTCAGAAAAATAATACGTTGACTCTGCCTGAAGAACTGTCAAAGGACAAATCTGAAAACGCCTTAAGCGGAGGCCAGTCTAGTCTATTTATACATGCTGGTGCTCCTACTGTTTCTAGTGAAAACTTTATCTTACCTAAAGGAGCTGCTGTTAATGGACCAGTTTCACACTCCTCCTTAACTAAGACTTCCAATATGAATAAAGGCAGTGTTTCATTAACCACTGGGCAGCCTGTGGATCAGCCAACAACAGAATCTTGTTCAACTTTGAAGGTAGCAGCTGATCTTCAGCTGTCTACACCACAGAAAGCAAGTCAACACCAAGTTTTATTTTTGTTATCAGATGTAGCACATGCTAAGAATCCCACCCATTCCAATAAAAAACTACCTACCTCTGCTTCAGTTGGTTGTGACATTCAGAATTCAGTAGGGAGTAATATAAAGTCAGATGGCACTTTAATAAATCAAGTAGAGGTGGGTGAGGATGGTGAAGATTTATTGGTAAAAGATGATTGTGTCAATACAGTAACAGGAATTTCCTCAGGTACAGATGGATTTAGATCAGAAAATGATACAAACTGGGATCCCCAAAAAGAGTTCATTCAGTTTCTTATGACTAATGAGGAAACAGTAGACAAAGCTCCACCTCTTTCTAAAGTAGGTCTAGAAAAAAAAAGAAAGCGAAAAATGGATGTAAGCAAGATAACTCGTTATACTGAGGATTGCTTTAGTGATTCTAATTGTGTACCCAATAAATCAAAAATGCAAGAAGTAGACTTTCTAGAACAAAATGAAGAGCTACAAGCAGTAGACCCACAGAAATATGCTTTATCAAAAGTGAAGCCTGAATCGACTGATGAAGACTTAGAATCTGTGGATGCCTTCCAACATCTAATTTATAACCCAGATAAGTGTGGAGAAGAGAGTTCACCTGTTCATACTAGCACTTTTCTTTCAAATACCTTAAAAAAGAAATGTGAAGAGAGTGATTCTGAGTCACCTGCTACTTTCAGTACCGAAGAGCCATCATTCTACCCCTGTACAAAGTGCAATGTGAATTTTAGGGAGAAGAAGCACCTCCACAGGCATATGATGTATCATTTAGATGGGAATAGTCACTTTCGCCATCTTAATGTCCCAAGGCCATATGCTTGTAGAGAATGTGGACGGACATTTCGAGATCGCAATTCACTTCTAAAACATATGATTATTCACCAGGAGAGAAGACAGAAGTTGATGGAGGAAATTCGTGAATTGAAAGAACTTCAGGATGAAGGAAGAAGCGCACGATTACAGTGTCCTCAGTGTGTGTTTGGTACCAATTGCCCTAAAACATTTGTGCAACATGCTAAAACCCATGAAAAAGATAAAAGGTACTACTGCTGTGAAGAGTGTAACTTCATGGCAGTGACAGAAAATGAATTAGAATGCCATCGAGGCATTGCACATGGGGCAGTGGTAAAATGCCCGTTGGTCACTTCTGATGTAGCCCAGAGAAAAACACAAAAAAAGACTTTCATGAAAGACTCCGTAGTAGGATCGTCCAAAAAATCAGCTACCTACGTATGTAAGATGTGTCCTTTTACTACTTCAGCCAAAAGTGTTTTAAAAAAGCACATGGAGTATTTGCATTCATCATCATGTGTTGATTCATTTGGTAGTCCTCTTGGACTTGATAAAAGAAAAAATGACATCCTTGAAGAACCTGTAGATAGTGATAGCACTAAACCATTAACTAAACAACAGTCAACCACGTTTCCAAAGAACTCTGCTTTAAAACAAGATGTGAGGCGAACATTTGGATCAACCTCACAATCAAGTAGTTTTTCAAAAATCCATAAGCGGCCACACAGAGTACAGAAAGCTCGGAAAAGCATTGCCCAATCAGGCGTAAACACTTGCAATCAAAACAGCTCTCCTCATAAGAATGTTACAATTAAAAGCAGCATTGACCAAAAACCTAAGTATTTTCATCAAACAGCAAAAGAAAAGTCTAATGCCAAGGCAAATAGCAACTATTTGTATAGACACAAATATGAAAACTATAGGATGATAAAAAAATCAGGTGAATCATATCCTGTGCATTTCAAAAAAGAAGAAGCTAGTTCATTAAATTCTTTACACCTGTTTTCATCATCAAGTAATTCTCACAACAGTTTTATTTCAGACCCTCATAAGCCTGACACCAAAAGACCTGAAAGCTTCAAAGATCACAGACGTGTAGCTGTAAAGAGAGTAGTTAAGGAATCTAAGAAGGAAAGTTCTGTTGGAGGGGAAGACTTGGATAGCTATCCAGATTTTTTGCATAAAATGACTGTTGTCGTTTTGCAAAAACTTAATTCTGCTGAAAAGAAAGATAGTTATGAAACAGAAGATGAAAGTTCCTGGGATAATGTTGAGTTAGGAGACTACACTACACAGGCCATAGAAGATGAAACCTATAGTGATATTAATCAAGAACATGTAAATTTATTCCCTTTATTTAAGAGCAAAGTGGAAGGTCAGGAGCCTGGAGAAAATGCTACTCTTAGTTATGACCAAAATGATGGCTTTTATTTTGAATACTATGAAGATGCTGGAAGTAACAACTTTTTGCATGAGATACATGATCCTCAGCATTTAGAAACTGCAGATGCTTCATTGTCAAAGCATAGTTCTGTTTTTCATTGGACTGATTTGTCTCTTGAGAAGAAATCGTGTCCTTACTGCCCAGCAACATTTGAAACAGGTGTTGGGTTATCAAATCATGTCCGGGGGCATCTTCACAGAGCAGGATTAAGCTATGAAGCCCGTCATGTTGTATCACCAGAACAAATAGCCACAAGTGACAAAATGCAGCATTTCAAAAGAACTGGCACAGGAACACCTGTTAAACGAGTTAGAAAAGGTAAGTTCTCCATGGGAATAATTTGGGCTAATAGGTCTGTGTTCTAATTCTGAGGATTTAAAAGTTCTGTTTGAATTTGGTCTCCATTAGAATCATATAATTTTATGTTTCAGAATTAACTCATTTTAGGGTGGTCAGTTTATATAAGAAAGTCTGATATTACTCTTAAAAATTTTTTTTTAGCTATAGAGAAGTCTGAAACCACTTCTGAACACACTTGTCAGCTCTGTGGTGGTTGGTTTGATACTAAAATTGGATTATCAAATCATGTTAGAGGCCACTTGAAAAGACTTGGAAAGACCAAATGGGATGCTCACAAATCTCCAATCTGTGTTCTGAATGAGATGATGCAAAATGAAGAAAAATATGAAAAAATCTTAAAGGCTTTGAACAGTCGTCGTATTATTCCCAGACCATTTGTAGCTCAAAAACTTGCATCAAATGATGACTTTATATCTCAAAATGTTATACCTCTTGAAGCATACCGTAATGGCCTAAAGACTGAAGCTCTGTCAGTGTCTGCATCAGAAGAAGAAGGGCTGAATTTCTTAAATGAATATGATGAAACAAAACCAGAACTGCCCAGTGGAAAAAAGAATCAATCTCTTACACTCATAGAACTTCTTAAAAATAAAAGGATGGGAGAAGAAAGGAATTCTGCTATTTCTCCGCAAAAGATCCATAATCAGACAGCAAGAAAGAGATTCGTTCAGAAATGTGTTCTTCCATTAAATGAGGATAGTCCGTTGATGTATCAGCCACAAAAAATGGACTTGACTATGCACTCAGGTAAGAGGACATTTATGACTATCCTATACACAATTTAAATGCAGTTCAATTATGCCTTCTTTAATGGAATCTATGTGGAAAATACTTTCTCACAGTCTTCTTGTTTAAGCTGCTTTTTTTTTTTACAGAGCACAGATTGGTTATTCTACTGTCATTTCTGTATAACTCATCAATTGATGCTCATTAGCACTGAGTTCTCTGTGCCTCTTTTCTTGGTCTGAATGTAAGGTGAGAACAAAAGCAGAAGAAAACCACATACACACACACAAAAACAAACAAAAAGCTGATCTGTGAAAATAAAACTTGCTGTGGCTGGAGGATGGTTGTGGATAATGTTCAAAAGCATAGCATTATTGAAAAGGCATACCTCTGTCATATTTTTGCGAGTTCTCCAAGGTAATCATGTTTTCAAGATTTAGCTGTTGGGTTTTCCACTGCGTAGGTAAAACAAAAAAGACTCTTAAAGCTAAATGGTTTGGTGTCTTTGTGATTAACCCAAAGAAACATCTCCGTCTCCAATTCCTCATTGTATTGCGGGATAGTTTGGTTTTGGAGAACAGGTGTGAACATAAAACATATTTGTTTGGGGTTTTAGGTTTTAAGATGGTGCTGTAATGGAACAGAACAGATGATTTAGCTTAGTGCTTGTGCACCAATAGTTTTTCCTTTTGAAAGGAATATTTTGTATGTATTGGCAAATAATGTGGCAGATAAAGTAGCCAAACTTTATTCAGTATTGCCAAGTCTGGTTTATACTTTTAGACTAGAAAAATTTTAAGTGTCTTTTCTAGATTTCTTTTTGAAGGTTAATAATGTTGAAGGTTTATGTAAATGGTCTCATGATTAGAGCTGTAAGTTGAATGTGTCGGAGGTAATAGTTAATGGATTAATAACGAGTAACATTACTGTAAAGTAATGTTGTTTATTTGCTTTGGGGCAAACATTGTGATATCCCAAATAGTTGTAATGCAATTTTGATTTAAGGAAAGATGACTTTGTGTTGTAAGTGGTCTGGAAAACAATTTATCTTGTATGAGCTTCTGTTTAATATGGCTTTTTCTTTCTAATAAAGAGTCTCTGAAAGTCAATAGCTTTCAATATTTTTTCAGAAGGATAAAATGCAGGCAAGATGTGTTAGCTGTGTTGACCAAGGGGTAGTATACTTCAGAGATGGAAAATGTATTTGTGGCTATCACAGTAATGCTGAAGAAACCGATTGAAATGTGTTGGGGAAGTGAGGATTGTCTGAGAAGTTAGGAGTTTCTTATTGTTTGAACATGTTTTTTCTGTGATGACTAAGATGTTAGCTTGTTGATCATTTATTTAGCACAATGATTTTAGCAAAAAACTTTAAATCATTGACTTTCATTATTGATTGCGCATTCAGAGTAATGAACATAAAATACCCTGAATAAAATGTTGTGTCTAACAGCTGTTCAGTGGTGTGTTTTACCACCTTTTCTCCCAGCCTTCGTCAGAAAGCCTAATTTAGTACTGAGACTTTTACGGTTTTGTGGGTAAAACACTTTAATTACCACTTTGTCAACTAGACTTTTTAATTCTTTTTATTGGTAATGTTGTAAGCTTTGAAACTTCTCAACAGAACCGTGGTGTTCAAATCACAGGATTGTATTAGTAGGTTTAAGAAATAATCTGCGTAACACAGAAATCTGCAAGAAAGTGATAATAGGTGTTATATCCAGAGGAGCTCAAAGGTTCAAGTCACTCCTCTTCTACCTTTCCAGAGAGCATGAGTTGGCTCTAAACACTAACTACAAACTAATAATAGTTAACTTAATTTCCCCTCCTTATTTTAAGTTAACCTATTTCATTGAACGTTTTGAAAACCATCTTTATTGTGGTGCTTTTCTACACTCTTTAAGCTAAGAAAATTTCACTTTTTGAAGTGAGAACTGGATTATAGTTTTCTTTTGAATGATAGGTATGCCTGTGAAGCTTAGAACATGTGTGCATTGCAATACGACGTTTACAAGTGCTGTTAGCCTGTCCAACCACTTACGCGCTTATGCACGAAAGAAGAGTGCTGGACTTTTGACTGGTACAGGTATGTTTGAACAGATATCACAGCAAGTCTGTTTGATACAATACACTTTTTTTTTTCCCACCAGACTGGTGTTAATTCAGATCATATTTATAGCTTTCTTTAGTAAGCTGCAGTTGAGTCTGAATACACATTAAATTTCAGCAGCTTGTAAACTGTTAGATATAATTCTAAGCTAGTTAATCTTTTTCTTTTGGCTCTTATTGACTTAATTTGGGGAAAAAAAATTAACCCAAGAGGTGTGGAACTTTTGAGTCTACCTTAATCCCATTTCTTTTTTAGAATACTATTTTTGATTTTTAAATTTATTTTAGATTCCAGTAAAACACCTCTCTTTATAGTTCTAGTCAGGCACAGTGGTGTGCCCCTATAGTCCCAGCTACTCATGAGGCTGGCAGGAGGATCACTTGAGCTCAAGAGTTAGAGGCTATAATGTGCAATGATTGTGCCTGTGAATAGTCACTGCACTCCAGCCTGGGCAACATAGCATAAAAATATTGTAGTTCTAGCTTGGGGAAATCCTTTTAGCAAAGGAAATTATAGGGATATTTCAAAATGTAGACTTGGTTAGTAAACTAAGCAAACTAATGAATTTTCATTAGTCTATAGATTAGATCTTTGAAGGGGTGAGCCTTAATAATGGCTTGTGTTGACAAGTGAATAGATTTTTCTTTTAATACTTCTTAAATATATTAAGAATTAATAAACTTAGCTATGCACATAAGTGTTAACATGCACATTTCTGTGTTATTTTTGGTTGGTTAGCCTAACCTTGCAGATACCTCTTAATACTGCTCATCTGTGAAAATTTGATTAGCTTACTTCTATGTAATATGCTTCTTATAACCTACAAGATGCTTTGCACTTTCATTTGTAGTCTTTTAAGCTACCCTGCTTCAGCAAATCTCATTTCCTTCACATCTTAAAATATACCCTCTTTTTGACATAGATCTACATAAATTCTTTTGCCTAAAATTCTTTCCAATCTTTTTATTTCTCTTGCTCTTTTTTAGATCACTGCCTCCTGCTTTCTTCTAGTTGTTTGCCCAGCTTTTTTGTTCTTCCTTGTGTCCTATAACTTACATCCAATATGTTCTTGCTTTCAAAAAACCACTTATATTTATACTAGTGTCTTCTGCTTCTTTGCATTCTTCCTTAACTTGATATACAAATGACCAGGGATGAATGTTGACAGTTAAAAAGAGAGGAGCGGGGTGAGTTTAGTCTACTGGATTAGGCCTCCTACTCTGAGATTATAATTTTTATATACCTTTATCACCTTTATCAGGCTTGGCAAGTGATTGCAGACATTAGAGGTGGGGGACAATGAAAATAAGAGACTGTACAAGTGGGAAATCATTAGTTACCATACTTGCTAACCTTTATTGAACATTTACTATGTGTCAGGCACTATGCCATGCAATTTACATGTATAACATTTAATCTTCACAACAACCATACAAGTTGTAGGTACTGGAATTCTCTTCCATTTTATAGGAAACTAGGACTTAGAGAACTTAATTTGCTCAAACTTATACAGTTAATAAGTAGCAAGGTTGTAATTCAGATCAGGGCTATCTTACCTAATCTTTGTTTTTAATCACTGTTTTCTACCTTATACAGGCGGCCTATTTTTGAATTTCTTATTTTTAAAATAAGAAATTGAAATAAAAATAAGCAATTGAAAATTCTAAAACGAAGGTGGGTGGGTGGGTTTGTTTGTTTGTTTGTTTATTTATTTATTTATTTAGAGATGGAGTCTCGCTCTGTCACCCAGGCTGGAGTGCAGTGGCGCGATCTTGGCTCACTGCAACCTCCACCTCCCTGGTTCAAGCAATGCCCCTGCCTCAGCCTCCCTAGTAGCTGGGATTACAGGTTCATGCCATCATGCCCAGCTAATTTTTTTGTATTTTTAGTAGAGATGGAGTTTCACCATGTTGGACAGGCTGGTCTCGAACTCCTGACCTCAGGCAGTCTGCCGGCCTCAGCCTCCCAAAGTGCTGGGATTACAGGCGTGAGACACCGCACCCGGCCTGAAGGTGGGTTTAAAATGGGGAGTACTCTGGTAAAGATTGAATACATAAGAGTCTAATTAAAAAAAGCAGAGATCCAAGAAGTGCTTAGGCCTAGATTAGACTTTGGAGGACTTAGCGTTCCATTCTGATTATTCAAGCAGATTATGCAGATACCCAATAAGGCAAGGTATCTCCAGTCCAGATTTTATTAGTCCACTAAAAAAATGCTTTTACTTCATCTGAAAATTCTGCAAAACACAGGATTAATTACCTATAAATAACTGGTAATAAATTTACTGGTAGTAAATTTACTGGTAGTAAATTTCCATTTACCAAGAATGCATTTATGAAGATTATCTAAAAAAAATCTTCATTGTCAGAGAGAAAAGTAACGTAAGATGACTGAGAATATATTTAGGTCCTGAAGAATAAAAGAGGGTGTTATTTTAAAAATATGATTAAGTACTAGCTAAAATATTAGAAGTACTAGGAAATAGAAAGCGTGTGTTTGGCAGTCCTAGGCAAAGAAAAGGAAAATGAGAAACTGAAGAAAGCCTAGGGTCATATTTTCCACACCCAGTAGCCACTTTTGACAAACTTTAAAAACTAATGCTTCTTTTTCTTGGAAATTCTGAAACATTTTTCCCTCATTAAAAAAAATCTTGATCAGTAGAGCTATACAGATGTCTTTGCTGCTTATTCATGCCAACTGGAAAGTTTTTATCAAGCTTTATTAACTTTTTTATTTTCCGAATAGAGAATTCTGTATTATATTTGCAAACTCCACATACCTATTATTCCCCATATCAGTATCACTGTTATAAAGCAGTAGTCCTAATAACCTATGGCCCTAGAAGGTTCCACTCGGTTATTATAAGTGATTCGTTAATTCATATGAGTAAAAGGCATCATTTTTCAAGAATACATGATCTTTTAATGAATAAAATGCAAATTCACTTTTATAAAATCTTACCTTAGTATATCACAAAATTGGAACAATGTAAAGGAAAAATAGGTGGGAATAAAGCCTTCCTAACCATGTCCAGTATGTGTATTTCTAGTTTAAGCAGTCTTAATTCATGTGGATTTTAAGTTGTGTGGCACTCTTGAATACAAAGCTTAGATACCCCCAGATTAAATGGTAAAGGCCTGCTTTTGGTTACCTGTGATAGAATAAACTTTCAAGCCTTCTTAGAAGCCACCAGCTCCTGGTCTCTTCTGTGGGAACTGGTGACCTTTTGAGGGAAGCAAAATATATCTTCTAACTTATAATCCCTTCAAGTATCCTGAATACACTGAAAAGGATACCCCTATTCTTCCCAAAATACCTGTTTACTGGTGACCTAAATACTTCTGATGTTATGGTTCTCAGTCTTTATTGGGGTCACCAACATCTTTGAGAATTTCATGAAAGCTATGGGCCCCATCCCAGAAACATGCACTTATTCATTCTCAGATAAAAAATTTTCTGTGTATAGCCTTTGCATGTCTCCTGAAGGCTATCATCAATTTGTCTGGTGGAAAATTGAGAAAGGAGAGATGCCAGAATAAAAGGAAAGTAGAAACAGAACTAGGAATCAGAAGCCCTAAGAAGTTCTTTTTTGTTTTTTTTATAGGAGCAGAAGATGCTTAAAATATAAGAAGTGCATAATAACAAAACTAATTCTGGGGTCATAAATATAAATTAAAATACATCTTCCCTGATATTTATAAAAGGAACCGATGGAGGAAATAGGAAAGGTTTAGAATTGGAGATTTGGAAGAGGTAGGCAGACTTAGGACAGTTAAATTGTCATAAAAGAATAATTTCACAGATCAAAGTTTTGCCGAGAACTGTCTCAGTTTATCTTCTGTTGGGTAGGTTCAAATAATAATTTTTATGTGTCTTTACTTGTAGATAATTTATGAAGCTGTTTTACTTCCTTTCCCCTGATCAATCTTTATCAAAACAGACTAGAATCAAAGGGTTTATTTTGTATCCTATATCGTAAATTTAAGGCAGACTTCTTACTCAAGAGTTTATTCCAGTTATTTATAGAATGCAGTAATGGTAGGGGTTTTTTTGAGATTTTGTTCTCTTTAATGTTTTACATGCTCACACAGATTATTTCTGGTTAATTTTCTAAACAGTTTAATAAGAACACTATATAGTTTTCATTAAATATTGAAATTTTATAATGTAGCTTATATTAATTACTTCTGGACTTTTTATTTTACTGATTAGTTTTTGTGCCTAATGTTTTAATTAAATGATGTATTTTTATGCTGGCAATATTAAGAACATAGTTCTATGAAGTTATTAATGGAGGGACTGTACATACTGGTTTGCCTTGTCACACCTAAGTACTAGTGCCTCTTTTACTCTCATAAGTGTCCTGGATTGAATGATAAATTAATCATCCTGGTTATTAAAATTGCTAAAGCATTTAAAATTAAGGTAAAGCATATTCTATCAACCTAATCTGCAATCAGGAAATAAAATATATTTTGAGGTCAAAATAAGAGTGAATTTCAGCAGGTAGGGAAAGGGAAATACAGTCAGAGTAGAGAGAATGTTGTTAAAGGAAGTAGATCTGTCAGTGAATGCCACAATGCTTCTCTGTGGTAGATAGCATGTGTTATCCTTTGAAAAGAAGAAACAATGATGGTAGCATTCAGCATTTTAATGGGACTTTATTTTATATCTTGGCCACATATACAAACTTATATTAATACAAACACACAATTCCTTGTTCACTCGCCTAAATGTACTTCAATATTTTCTTTTTTAGTATATTCTTTGTTGTGAAAAATTAATGCTGGTCATGAGCCAGTAAATTGATTTGCTGCCCACTAAGAAGTCACTATCATACATTGAAGTCACTGTCCTAACTGCCTCTTTCTCTTAGGGGTCAGTACTGACTAGAACCAATGGTAGTAGTATCTTAGAAGTCATAACTCCTCTGTGGCAGCAGGTGAATTTTCTATACGCATTTTATCCAAATTTTT